CGAAGTCGCATGTAAAAGGTAGTCTAGATATCTAATAAATTTTACTCACTTTAGACTTTTTTGTATTCCACTGCGAGTCAGTACAGAAGAAATTGCTTCATAATACGAGCTTCCATTGTTGAATGATTTATAAAGTATAGATAATTAAATGAATATATTCAATAGTAACAGCAGTTGTATAAGAAAACTCAACGTAAATTATTCATTCTGTGATTTTAACTACGTTTAGCTTGTGTTCGCACATTTATTAATTATCTAACTTATTAATTATTGTAACTAATTCAATTTTCGTTAACTACATGTACGTATGTAGCTTTTAATTAACTTATTGTTGTCATATATATTTTATTATTAAGTTACTATACCTGTAAACTACCCTTAAAAGTAATAAATAAATAAATAAATTTAGAGATCTAAGTTTGAAGGTTTCGTACTGTTATTTTTTATAGTCATAACTGTACAATACCCTAAATCACAAACGATGCCAATTAAACCACGCTTTATATAACAGATATGTCGGAACTGAAATTTGAGAGAAGTTGGCCGCAGATATAGGTTAAACTCATATTAAACTGCCACAAAACAAACGTTTGCAAATTATATGGTAAATTGTATTTACAATTTGATTCCGTTGTTTTTCAAATTCAATCATTAAATATTATATTTTTTTATACCCAACATGTGAAAACATGTTACACAGATCTCAAATCACTTGGATAAAGGCAAGAAAATAATGACGATGACATGTGGCAAACAAGCTTTTACTCATACACATGTATCTCCTCATTTTACATTACAATTTTTATATCCCAGTGGGGTAGACAGTACAAATAGTATATGATATTCTCAAATTGAATTACACTATCGCTTTCTTCACATTCAAAATAACAATAAAAAATATATATAAATAAATACTATTAGACTTATCACGCAACGCCATCTAGTCCCAAACTAAACATAGTTTGTATTAATACTTAATCGATTTTTTTTACCTGTACAATATATTGTAATTAAAGGCCGTATTTTATATATAAAAAACCATACAAAGTAACGACGAAACATTAGTAATTAATACTTTTATAATGTAAACAGAATTTATACATTCATACACCGTCTCATACAGAAAGAAAGAAAACAAAGGAGGAAATATTTTTATTCAAGTAAACTTAGTTTTAAGTATTTTTAAAAAGTATTTTTTTTTTCACTAGCTGACCCCGTGAACTTCGTACAGCTTGACAGTCGATTCTTTATTTTTTTTTAGTTTTTTTTTAATACATAAAAAAAGAATAAAGATTAATTTAATAGATAAAAAAAGAAAAAAGAAATTTAATAAGTCAACAATTACATTATGTTAAAAAATAAAAATTATAAAACACGTCGTGCCACGTCACTCAATTCTTTTGCCTTCCTGGAACCCCTCCACTAACACTTGAACTTTATGACATGGTATTAAAGTTCAAATTGACTTTTAAGTATTATTACAAATTATTTGTACGGGAGTATAGAAAAGTGTTGTTTCTAGATTCATTCAGGCAATTTTTTTAAGTTTTTCTCTCTGTAAAAACCATCCTCGTACTTCAAGGAATATTCGAAAAAAAGAATTAGCGAAATCGGTTCAGCTGTTGTCGAGTTTTGTGCTTAGCAACACATTCAGCGACTTATTTTTATATTATAGATTACCGCCCATTCAGTACGAAATTTCAGTCAAGAAAAACGGACAAGAAATTCAGCTGTTTCTTCTTCTTTAAAAAAAACGTTTTCTGTTTCTTTAAAAAAAAAATATAATTAAATACATACATCCATATTTAGAAAAACGAATAAACAAATCATGCAAATTAGCAAATTAGTTAACTATATTTCCTTCAATAAATGAGTGAGTAGGTAACTAAGTAAATAGGAATGTAACTGGAACTCGTGTGCCAAATGTGAGACCCGTGTCATCCTTATCAATCCTTTGTCTTCCCAAATCCCGAACGTGTCAAAATTTTGACAACATTGATATCAATCTGTCCTATCTTCTATCATCGAAAAATACGCGATATATGTATACTATTTTTTACCCGCGGCTTCGTCTGTGTGACCGGGATAAAAGTAGCTTATATCCTTCTCCGTCCTATAAAATACGTGTAGGTATATCAAATTTCATATTGGTTAAGCCGTTAAAATGCTGTAAGGTAATAAACGAATATATATTATTTATTTATTTAAACTTTAATGCACAGTAAAATTCTATGTACCCTTGGCAGACTTAACACCGGACGGTGTTCTCTACCAGTCAACTATTGGGCAAACCGAGAAATACGTAGTGCATATCTGAATAGAGAAAAAAAAATAAACCAATATTTATATAATATAAACATACATACAATAAATATATACATAAAATATTACTACATAAAACAATTAAAGAAAACAACTGCATATCTGAATAGAGAAAAAAAAATAAACCAATATTTATATAATATAAACATACATACAATAAATATATACATAAAATATTACTACATAAAACAATTAAAGAAAACAACTGCAATAGAAGAGATATTATATGATAGAACACTTAATTATATACTATATATTTTAAATTTTATGATTTAATACTGTTTAGTGGTATATAAATTATTAATTCACACAAGTTAATATTTTAAATAATTAACATAAAAAAAAACAACTGGCATGTTTTCTTTTTGGCTGAAATTGCGTTCTAAATGGGCAGTAATAAAAAAATTTACTATTCAAAAATGCTTAAATCTAAGTTTACTTAAATATTTATTTTTTGGGTTTAATTTTCTTTTAGTATAAGTTCGTTACGTGATATAAGTATAAACATTTTATTAGAAAGGTATCTTTTCCTGTTGATATTATTCAAATTAATATATGAAATAATTAGTCTCTCATTTGACTAAAGACTGATATTAAATGACTGAATATATTTCACTTTTACTTACGTACATCATCACCTTACTTCTATTCGAGTTTTAAATTCGAGGCTGCAGACATACATTGGATTCTTAGTATCAAATTAGTAAAAGCCAATGTAAAATAATATTGGATTTCTGCTTTTAAGTTTTATATATCCATAGCCCAATTTCCCAGTTTTCTTTTTTTTATACTACTTAAAATGGCAAACAAGCTGACGGGCCCCCTGATGGAAAGTAACCGTCGCCTATAGACATGAGCAGTACCATGGACATAACAGAGTATACTGTTCGCCCATGATACCCCCCATGCGTTGCCATTCCTGAGGACTCAGGTGTTATTCCTCTGTACCCAGTAAATTCACGCCATATCCCACCCTTCAAACCGAAACACAGCCATGCAAACACAACTGCTTTACGGTTGATACACGAATGGGACAGAGGTAACCAAGCAATCGACTTTTGTACAAAGTCTCCCTCTGGTCTCTTTTCTTCCCAAAATAAGAGAAAAACTTCCCGTACTATTATCTTCTGGTTGACAAATAAAGCTCAGTTGCGGTTAAAAATTTCTATGTCATTGTCAACCTTATAAATTAGAATGTTTCTTATCTCTACATTTAAAATTTGAATATCACGTGACTTTAATATCTTAAATTCGAATAAAATATCAAATTCAATATGCGTTTAGGATTATGATTTATCAGATTTACCAAATATCAATAAATATACTGAAAAAAAAAAATTATCGAACGACGACGGCCCACTCTAGAAGGAAAGTGGTAATCTATTGACATAAATAGTATCATTGTGATTTATTTTTTTAAATAAAATTATTGATCAAAAAGAAATATGATGCAAAAGGCGGACTTAATGCTACTAGCATTCTGTACCAGTCAACCTTTAGGATGAACAGTGAATTACGAACGCGATACTTCATTACAGGGGCAAGTAAAGAAATTTCAGTCGGTACAATTAATAACATATACCTTTACATAACAAATAATATATACATTTATATACAAGTAGATAAATATACAAAATATAAATAAATAAGTAAATAAAATATAAAAGATGATAACTAGCTACTACTGTAGTTGTAATGGGTTCATGGACCATGGATGAATGGGTGCAAGGTGTGAATGGACTTTGAACATAGCATTTATTATATATTTGAACATAGCTCTCGAATACCTTCAGGCAGTGCATTCTAGAATCGTAAAACTTTAATGGAGAAGGAGTTAAAGACATATCACAATACAGAACAAATCACCATCACAGATAAATAATTATAAATCTTTATAAATATTTAAATTTATAATATTAGTAGAATGAGAGTTTATTTAGTTATTACATTTAGAATAATCTTATAGACAGGTGTGTATCATGGAAAAACAAAACTCAATTCAGTAGATAAAAGAAAAACTTAAAATTCCTATTAAAAAAAAAAAACTACTTGTCTCCGTGATAAAGTGGCTATTCACACCGTGTGGCAATGTCAATTTATTAAATGAGATTGTCTTGACCACATTGTATTGGGTTTTTTTTTTAATTTTTAATTAAAACCTTTCATCTATTCTCCAGAGACATTTGTTTAGGTAACATTATTATAAAAGAATAATTTTCAGTTCTAAGTCTATGCCATTTAAAAAAAAAATAGCTATATTAATCAAATACGTATATATCTTATTTTTATCTAAACCAATTTTTTAGAAAAGAAAGATATCATTACTTCTAATAGATAAATTTAAAAAATACTTATCTAATTTTAAAAATACTTTCTACTATAGAAAGCTTCGTTATCAGCAAGTAAAATATATGGTATTTTATTAAAAAAAAAACATGTAATAACGAGAATAGTGTTAATATTATTAAACAACCAGAAAGCTGGCGTAATAAAATATTTTCAGGTGATATAAAATATAATGAACACATACAAAAGACGCCCAGATCGCAGAATAAGACAAAAGATATCAAATACTTCTCACTTACCTATATTGACATTAAAACAATAAGCAACGTCCCTTAAACACGTGGTCGGAATTTTCTTTTTTCAAATTAAATTTATAATAATTAATAACTCACCTTTCAAGTCGTCAATGAGATCTCCTGTCACGGAACACGCTTTTTTTTAACAGTTACAGTCAAATGTTTATATTTACCGACGTTACAACGCGCGTGTATACAAAGAAACACGTCCACCCGGTACGGGTGTGCTGCCACGAATGGAATGAATGAAAATCAGGGGTAGCTGACGGAGGGCGGGGCTGATCTGGGAGGTATAAACCGGGAAAGTTGAAAAGGCGCGACTCCTCCAACAAGCGACGGTGGTGCAACTCGTTCTCTGTATGGTCGGTTAACGGAAAACTCTTTGTGGTTCTATTCGAGGATTAACCTACTTGTTTCAGAAGTTGAAATGACTCTGCAATAAGTTCGTGGTGGATTTAATATTAATTTTCGCCTGGTTATATCACGTTCTTGGTGGGAGAGAGTTATTGAAAAATTTCGTGGAATCCTCCCTCTTAAGAGCCTAATAGCTTCATATTGAATATTATCGTATATTTTTTTGTATACGGTCAATAAGTAGAAGGTTCACAAAAACTAATGTCGGTTACAATAAGAAGTAAATCTTGATACTGTTAATCAATCTAAAGGATGGTTCTTTAAATAAATAGTTATCGTGCATGATTAATCGCAAAGGCTAAATATAATAAGTATAAACTTATTCTTTAAAAAATTAGGTTTAAGCTCTTATACAAATATAGGTAAGGGCCGAAACCCACTGATAGTTTTTATAAAACTCAACAATTATATAACAAAATAATATTTTCAAATTTCGAACTTTCCCAATGAACCAATTTGAAATTTCTAAATATTATTTGAAATTCCCACACAAAGCACTATCTTCCACGCACAACCACTCTTTGAAATCAACTTCCAACAGCAGTATTTCTGAACCAATACGACATCATAACCTTCAAGAACAGAGCATATTACTTTATAAAAGGCCGACAGCACACCTGCCATGGCTCTGGTGTTGTAGGTGTTCATGGGCGGTGGTCACTTACCATCAGGTGAGCGAACAACGAGTTGGAGCACATACCTCATTTTCATACCTACTACTCATTGGTTTAGGCTTTATATACATTTCACGAGTTTACAACTAACCTAGCTACTATTTTACAAACAAAAATAGTTCTCAACTCCCAGAAGCGTCACCTACATACATTATTAAGCCAAATATCCATAGCAACACGTAGTTCTGCCGCCAAGCAGCTGTGGAACGGTTGCATCTGAACAATTTCACTGCTGTAACCCATCTTTGAAATATATAATATGAAGTAAAATTATAGATAAGGGGCTAAAATATCCTCATTATATCACCTATATATTTACAGATTAGTCCTATAAAAATATAATTAAAATCGATTCAGTTGTTTAGTTTTTAATTCAAAATATTTTTGACGGAAAACAATTTTAAATTATAAAAATATCTATATAGACATTTGTGAAGATTACAAGTAGTGTTAAAAAAGTCGCAAAATTTACATTGTAAAATACCTATCCAGTAGATCTACAAGGATTATATATTCAATGCCACAGACAAATAGTTATGTACGCATTAGGTACGCATTTAGTGAGGAGATTTAAACAGTTTATCACTACCAAATCAACAATTTGTTGTCATAGGTGAGAAAGGATTGTTAGTAATAGGTTAGTCCCCTTTGCTATCAGTATACCCTATCAGGTCGACCTCCACGAGGTTCCCCTGGAAACCATCGTGATTAATTTCCTTTTCATCCTCAATGCGTGCCCTGCTAGTGTATACTGTTATTCAAATGGATGATAATGGAATGGTAACCCCGCCTGCGCTAACGGTATACACTGGCGGGGCATCAGTGAAGGCTGATAAGTGAGAATGAAGTCAGGTTAGTTAGTCCATCGCGATGAGTTTGACAAAATTAATCACAATGGTTTCCAGGGGGAACCGCGTGGAGGTCAACCTGATAGGGTATATTGCTAGCAATGGGGGATTAACGTCCCCATTACTAACAATCCTTCTCCCTTCAGTATATAGGGGAAAGTGGGGGAATTGGGAACACTTAACTTCCAACGTCCAAAAATAATAGAAAAAAGTCTTAGATATAGCAACTTTTATTACAATATAAACTTTACTTATCTATCTACTTATCAGTTACAGAAAAACTCTCAAGAATCAACGTTTCATTAGAAATTTTAACGAAAACAAAAAACGTTGTCGTTTCTTTTTACCCGATACCCTATGGGGTAATTGAGATCATCCCGAGGGGTAAATGGGAACGGTATGGGGTAATTAGAAACGACACAATTAAATCTTTATAATAAACTATAGTTTTTTTGGTTGGCACATATCACACACGTACCCTAGACTAGTCTCACCAGCAGTACATTTTTCATGTGCCCAGAGTTTACAGATGACGCACATAATCCAATCCTCTGTCGGCGGAGATTCATATTTTTCGTTATACATTATACAATAAAACTCTTCTTCAAACTTATTTTCCTTTTTTAAATTTTTCACTCCTTTACCCTTGACTCTTGGATTTTTTTTTATGGTTTTAATGTTCTTTTTTTAGTGTTTTATTCGGAACTTTTTTAGCTTTTCTCTCATTTTGTTTTTTCTGCTTTCCCTCAAGTTCAATTTTTATCGGTGAGCTGGATAAAATTTGAGAATGTCTCTTATTCTGTCGCACAGAAGTGGTTCTTGTTTTAGGAATGATAGGCACATTAATGATTTCGGCAAGAGGCACAGTTTACATTTTACTTTGGCTGACAGTGTTATCGGATAAATTTAAACTTTGCTCAGCTGTAGTTTTATGAGCATCGCATTCTTGAATCTGACTGATGTAGGATTGATTAGATGTCATATTCTCAAAGATGTCTTTAAATTTGTCAGGATTAATAGGATAAATTCCAGCGGCTCTAAATCCACTGACAGCCTTGCTTATTTTAGCTGTTTTATTTACGCCTTTGTAAAAAGTTCTCCATATCTCGTATTGGGTATATTCGTTTCCCAGGATTTTAACCATGTACAACTCACATTCCTTATTGTATGCTATCTTCAGTGAACTAAAGATTGTGAGATCTAGTGGCTGCATTTTGTGAGATACATGGGGAGGCAAAGAAAGAACTTGCAAGTAATGTTCTCGAAAAAGCTTGTATGCTCCCAGGCTGATATGACTTTCGTGATTATCAAGTATTAATAATACTGGTTCTTCTTTGGTAGGTTTTACGAAAGAAATAAAGTGTCGCAAGTAATCAAGAAAAATGGACTCATTTATCCAACCGGAATCAGAAACCGTGGCAATCATGTCGCTATTACAGCCTTAAATTAACAGTCCATTCATTCTTTTTCTTTTGAAGATAAGCATGGGAGGTACATATACACCACTAGCACTGACAGCACAAACTACTGTTGTTGTGACACCACGTTCTCCACTTGTCGCTTTGGCTATCTGTTTTAAACCCTTTAGAGCTAAAATTGTGTAATTTTTTTAACTGTGTTAATGCCAGTTTCATCAATATTAAAAATACGATGACCAGGTATATTGTGTTTTGTTTGGATCATTTTTAGTTGATCAAAAAACAGATTCACTTCGGTGACGTTAAAAGCTGTTATTCTATTAAGTGAAATAGCTCCTGGTATCCGTAAACTGATGGAAGGATGTCGAGACATGAAGCCATAGTACCAGTCTTTGCCTGCTAGCTGGGTTTCTTTGTTAAAATTGTGTTTCAGCTTATTAGCTTCAGCAAATCGAAAAGCAATTTTACGTAATGAACTTGGTGTTATTCTATAAAAAGTCTTGCAGCAATCAAGTATATATTTTTCTAGCTGGTCTTCTTGTTCTCTATTAAATACAGCAGATCGACCTTTTTTTAGTGTCTTGACTTTATTTTGTTTTAATTGTTTGAATAATGTTGATTTTGGTATTGAATATTTGGTAGCAGCTTGGCCTAATGTGAGCTTCTTACTTCTAACATCTTCAACTGCATGGCGAAGATCTTCAATTTTGTATTTCGATTCAGTCTTTCGTATATAGTTTCGAGGCATCTAAAACAATTTTTAAAGTTAAAACATTTTTACATAATTAACCAGCAGCACTAGGAGTAAACTAAGAACGCGAGGGGTAATTGAAAACGTTCCCAATTACCCGCCTGACGCCATTCCCAATTGCCCAAAGTAGTCAATATATATCAAAATAGCCGCCATCCTCAATAGTATTTTTGATAACCTTCAATCACGTAGGGTTTGGAAGCAGATAGTACATGCATAATAATAACAAAATATGGTGCCTTTGAATTCAAAAATATGATAGTTACACCTATTATAAGACACGACAAAAATTATAAAAGAAATGCAAAAAACATTGTTCGACTTACCGTGACAGGGTACATGTGGCCTTTCACTCTTACTATTTGGTGTACACTAAGGGGCACTGGATGCGTCCGTTGAATAAGCGCGGGACGGTGTAATGTGGGGGGAAGTATTATTTACCTAGCTGTTCCCAATTACCCGCCGTTCTCAATTCCCCCACTCTCCCCTACCGTTAGTGCAGACTGGGTTATCATTCCATTATTATCCATTAAAAAAAATATTGCTACGAAAACACACAGTTGTTGTTCCTTGATTATTTTTAATGAATCATTTCTTTTACTTACTACCTTAAAAAAAGTATATTTTAAAGTCAAGGTTGTCCTCGACCTATTAAGCTTGAATATTCTACCACGAATTTACTTCATTTCATGTAAAACAGTCTTCGTGTAGTTCCGTAGCAAGTTAATGAATCTATTATAGCAGTAAGAACGTACTTAGCCAGTTAGTTTTCGCAGACTTTGAAGAAATATACATGCCTTCTGAAAAGGATTTTGCAAGTTTATCTACATTGGCATGGATTACGTAAAAATAAATGTGGGATTCATAATTTCAAATTCAATACTTCATTTGAATTGAAGCATTTGGCTTTGAATTATTTCAAATTAGCGAAATGGGTTTGATATATTTGTACATATTCTTTATCGTCCCGTGTGGTCCCGGCATAGATTAGGCCACCTCTTTTTTTCCCGTTGGTGGTGTCGTAAGAGGCGACTAAGGGAGAGAGAGGCAACTACTGTCAAAACCCCCTCCTAAAGGGAGGCTTATGTTCAGCAGTGGTCAGTTAAAAGCTGATATAAAGATGATGATTCTTTATTATATATGTATAGTTATGTATATGTGATATAGAAACTCGTGCCCAACGGTGGGATGTTATTTTAAATAAACGACCTGCATTGGATACTCGCGGTTCTTCTGAAAGTAAAATAGGTGAAAGAATTTATACATCGGTTAACTATTTTTTGAGTTTATCAATTACGAACAAAAAATTAAATCTAGATTACAAAAAACGATGCATGTTTGTGGAGGTATGGATAGTAAAATAGACGAAGTATGTGAGATGATGAGTGAAAGAAGAATTGATGTATTAGGAGTAAGTGAAACAAAAAAGAAAGGCTGCTCTATTACTACTTATGACCGATATACTGGGTACTGGTCCGGAGTTAATGACTCTGAAAGAAGCAGCCAAGGAGTGGGAGTTATTTTGTCAGAGAGAATGAATGCATCTGTTAAAGAATTTGAATTTGTAAGTCCTAGACTCCTCTGGATACGATTGAAAGTTAGTTTGACCCGTATTTTTCTCCTTTGCGCTTATGCCCCGGATATGTCCAAGCCACCAAAGGTCAGAGAGGATTTCTGGGATAGTGTAAGGGAGATTATGACTAAATGTAAGGAGAATGAAAGAATTATTTTGATAGGTGATTTTAATGGCTGGGTGGAAATATCGCGATGGATATGAAAGGAATTTAGGAATGTTTGGAGATAAAAGAGTGAATGAAAATGGTGAAAGTTTATTAGAAGTATGCCTGGAGAGAAATCTGGTGGTGACTAATACTTTGTTTAGTCACAAACTGATTCATATGTATACATGGCAAAGGCAAACTGAGAGAAGTATGATTGATTTTGTAATTGTGGATGAACGATTGAGAGCGAAAGTGAAGGATACAAGAGTCTATCGTGGTACGAATGTCGGAACCGATCACTTTTTGGTGATATCGAGAATAGGTGGCTTATTCAATAAATGGCGACATCGTCCACGTGTTCGTATGTCAGAAATAGAAAGAGTAAGAGTAGAGAGACTGACAGAAGAACAGGTTCGAAATCAGTATCAAGAAAGATTGAATGAAAGATTTAGAGAGCTACTGAAGAAAGATAACTATGAGATAGAAGAATTTTGGAAGGAATTTAAATGCGGAATCTTTGATATAGCTACTCAAGTTTGTGGTGTAAGTAAGAGGAAGGATGTTAAGATGAGAATGAATGTATGGTGGGATGGCGAAGTGAAAGAAATGGTGGCTCTAAAGAAAAAGGCATGGATGGATTTGTTAGCTACCAGAGCTAATAAGAGAATGCAAGGTAATGTAAGTGACATTGAAAAAATTGCAAAAGAGAAGTATGATGTAATGAAAAAGAAAGTTAAAGAATTAGCAAGGAAAAAGAAAGAGGAATGTAAGGATGAGTATGAAAGGAAATTCTCTAGAAATTTTCGAGCTAATCAAAAGCTTTTCTGGCATTTAGTTCGAACAGCTAGAGGTAAAAAGAGAGATCCGAAAATGGGCGTGATAAGGGATATGGATGGTAATGTTATCATGGAACAAAAGGAAGTCTTAGATTATTGGAAGAGATATTTTGAAAGTTTATTTGAACGTGGAAGTGAAAGAAAGAATGTTGAAAATGAAATAATGGACGAAGAAGTTGACAGTGAAAGTGATATAAGTATGGATGAGGTAATGAATGCAATGAAGATTATGAAATTTGGTAAAGCAGCGGGATTCGATAGAATATCTGCCGAAATGCTTAAAGAAGGTGGAGAAATCATTGTAAACCTGCTGTGTCTGCTGTTCAATAAATGTTGGCGGTCCGGTTGTGTTCCAGGTGACTGGGGCAAAGCTGTTATTGTGCCACTATATAAAGGCAGCGGGTCACAGCAGGAGTGCAAAAATTTCCGCAGAATAAGCCTTCTTAGTGTTGTAGGCAAATTGTATGCTAGGATTTTGATTAAAAGAGTGATGAATGAAACGGAAAGTAAAATTTGGGATGTGCAGGCAGGGTTTCGAAAGGGTATGGGATGTACGGATCAAGTCTTTTCTTTAAGGTGCATAACAGAGAAAACCTTAGCTCAACATCAGAAGGTTATCTGCGCCTTCGTTGACCTTGAAAAGGCTTATGATAGAGTGGAGAGGAATGAACTATGGTCAACACTGGCAATGTATGGGGTGAGCAGCCATTTGATACGGGCATTCAAATCTTTATATAAGGATTCAAATGCCTGTGTCAGAATAAATGGAGTCTATACAGACTAGTTTGGCATTGAACGCGGTGTTAGACAGGGCTGTGTAGCGTCTCCTTGGCTGTTCAACCTATTTATGGACAGTTGCTTGACCGATTTGAAAGGATCTAATTGTGGATTCAGGATGAATGAGTCTCTGTTTAAGACTCTTTTATACGCCGACGACCAAGTACTTTTTGCATCGTCGGAGTATGAATTACAACAAATGGTGACTATAATGAATGAAGCGTATGCAAGAAAAGGTATGAAAATAAATGCGAAGAAGACGAAGGTAATGGTTTTTGAGAGGAATGAAAGTTTAACGGCATGCCAGATTATGATAGGAGATGAAAAAGTGGAGCAAGTGAGTGAGTTTCTATATTTAGGTTCTTTGTTTACGAGGGATAGGAAGTGTGACAGAGATATTGAGAGGAGAGTAAAAGCGGGAAACAGTGTTATATATATATATATATATATATATATATATATATATATATATATATATATATATATATATATATATATATATCGTGGGTATGGCAGATTTAGCATAAAGTAAGATATATGCTGTATATATGAGAGCTTTGAGAAGTATGTGTGGTATTACTTTAAAAGATAGAGTAAGAAACAGTGTGATTAGAGAGAAGTGTGGACTGAAAGACGATGTAGTGACAAAAATCGAAAAAGGAATGTTGCGTTGGTTTGGTCATTTGGAGAGGATGGATGAAAGAAGAATTACGAAAGAGATTTATCGAGCAAGAATGAATGGAGATGTCGGTAGGGGCCGCCCTAGACGGACGTATGTCGACCAAATAGGCGACGTGCTGAAGAAGGGCCAAATTAAAAGTACCCGTAACCGACGAGCGTGTATGACAAGATTGATGAATGTGGAAGAAGCGAAAGAGGTTTGTTTGAATCGAAGCATTTGGCGTTCCATTGTTTCTGCCTAC